CTGTGTTGTGCTGTGTTTGGGGGTGGTACTAGGAGGGTGTGGTGGGGAAAACTTTCAGACCAAGTGACTCTGGCTCTGGGCCAGAGCACAAGCCCAGCAACTCAACAGATTTCCCAGCAGAAGGAACAGTGAAGGACAGGCCAAGGACACGGCCTGATGAGTCCAGCACTGGGCAGACAGTGGCATGATGAAGAAGATGCGTGGAGAGTATGGATGGCAGAGAGGGGAGGTGTGTGATGGTGGAGGTCTTTGCAGGACTGACAGGGATCTGACCTTGACTGTGTGGGCCTCCCATGGAGTGCTTGTGTTCTGGGGTGAACCTGGAGGTACAGAGTTCCTGATGATGCCCAGTGAGGTATTGGTGCTGTCCTAGCTTACTTTCTGTGGCTGTGATTAACACCATGAAAAGCAACTTGAGGAGCAAGCAGCTTATTTCTGTATATAACTCTCAGATCACAGTCCATCACTGAGGGAAGTCAGGGCAGGAGCCTGGAGGCAGGAACTGAAGTACAAACCATGCAGGAATGCTGCTTACTGGCTTCCCCAGGCTTCCTCAACCTGCTTTCCTATCCAGCCCAGCCCCACCTGCCCAGAGACAGCAAAGCCCACAGTGGGCTTGGTCCTCCTCCATCAATTAGCAGTTAGGAAAATGCCCCCGCAGACACACCCACAGGCCAATCCCATGGGGGAAATTCCTCTACCGAAGTTCCCTCTCCCCAGGGTCTCTAGTGTGTGTTGTCAAGAACTAACCAGCACAGCTGCACTCTCAATAGTCAACTTATTTGCAATTTTTAGATTTTAAAATGGATACCAATGGTGAAGGTGGCTGCATTCAGCTCTGTGCAGCCTCTAAAGAAATACCATCCGGGGCTGGAGACACGGCTCAGCGGTTAAGAGCACTGGCTGCTCTTGCAGAGGACACGGGTTTGATTCCCAGCACCCACATGGCAGCTAACAACTGTCCATAACTCCAGTTCCAGGGAATCCAACAGCCTCTTCTGTCTTCCGTGGGCACTGCAGGACATGGGTGCACTTTCCTACATGCAGGCAGTACACGCATACACAAAAAATAAAAATAATAAATAAAATATTTTTTTAAAAAAAGTACCATCCAGAGCTAACATGCAGCCAAGGCCCGGTCATGAGTCAGTGCAGTAGTTAGGGCCTGCCACCCTGCATTTCTGACGGGCTTCCAGGCAACAGCTGCATTGCTGAACGCGCCGTCTCGGCTCTCTGAGGTGAAAGGTGATCTGAAAGCTTCAGGAAGCAGAGTGACGGGCAGACAGGGAATGACTGAGAACACGTAGCACTGGAGTTGGTGGAGGGCTGGGGTGACCCAGAGGTGTTACTGCTATGAGTGAACAGAGCTAAGCAGCCATCCGGCCTGCCTCCACCGCCCTGTAACAACACTGGGCAGAAACAAAAGTTTACTTTGGCTCACGATGACAGAGGGTTTCATGACGGGGAAGGCACAGCCGAGTTTGTGGTGGTGGGACTGTGAGGTAGAGTTCATGGTCAAAGGAACAAAGGCACCTCCTCTCTGTTGTTCCAGCACAAGCTGCTGATCTCTTTATCAACAACAGCATCTTTGCCCACAGCTTTCAACTCCTCTTACTCCTAGAGATTTCTTCTCACTGAAAGCCTGGCTAAAAGCAATCAATGACCATGTCACTACTGGACGTTACCCTCTCTGGAAATTTCCTCTGCCAAATGACGTAGTCTATTCTATAGAGTTCAGCCTCACTCAAAATTTCAACACACAGGTTAAACATAGACAAATTCTAAGCCAGAATGTTTCATGAATGACCTTCACCCCACTTTCCAACAGAGGCCTTGTTCCCATTGGAAACCTTCATGGATGTGACCTTCACTCTCTGAATTTCTACTGGAATTCTGGTCTTCCCAACTCCCACCAGAGCGGTCCTTTGAGCTTTGCTGACAGCATTTTACTGCCTCTCTAGCCCACACCTTCAAACTCTTCCAAATTCCTCATATAAACCAGTTCTGTGGGCCCAAGAACCACATGGAAGTTTTGCTCAGACAAGGCCACTCTGGGCACCTGTTTTCTGTATTGGCCACTTTTATACCTCTGTGGCTCCAAAACTTCGCAGAAACAACACGAGACAGTAAATATTTATTTTGGCTCTAGTTTTAATCCAAATAGGTTGAGTTCAGGATGGTAGGAGTGTGTGGCAGAGGCTCCTCCAATCACTGCAGACCAGGAAGCAGAGGGTGAGGCCAGGCATCATCTTCCAAGGTCCACCCCTAGTGACTTCTTTCTGTCACTTCACCCCTTATAGGTTCCATGGCCTGTTAAAGTAGCACCAGCAGCTGAGGAGTACATTGGGAAACAAGCATTCCAACCAGAAGCCTGTGGGAGACAGTTCAGATTCAAAGCGTAACCAGTCCCCATGCCAGGCCCAGGCCTCTCACTGCACCCACAAAGCTCAAAGTAGCCAGCTTTCTTTGGCTCAGTCAGCCTGAGCCCTGAGCCCTCGCCCCCGTTCTCTGAAGCGGGCAGCCAGAGGTGTACCAGCACAGGTCTCCTTTTCTACATTTCCTTCCAGGACATTCTAGTCAAGGTCCACAGGCCCCCTTCCCCCACCCCACTTTCTCCAGACAAAAGTGTTGAGTTCTGAGTACCAAGGTGTCCCCAGCTCTGCTCAGGCTCCCCAGACACAGCTTGGCTCCAGTTCAGCCCACCCCTGATGGACCAGGCCCATCCCACGAACCCCTCCAGGGCTCCTCTCCCAGTGGAATCGTTTTTTGTTTAGGATTTATTTAAGAATGTACGTGTCTACATGTGAGAGTACATACACACACGGAGTGGGGTGCACCTGGGAATGCACACAGGCCCTGATGCGGGTGGGAGGATGTGAAGGGCAGATTAAATTCCTGCCTGGGCTTCTGCATCTGTGAGCTTCATAGCCCTAGAAGGGGATCTGACCTTTGGGAATCTTGTTCTTGCATTCATAACATGGCCTGGCGGTCCCTGCCTGTGTCTCCCAGGAGGACAAGAGAACTAACTGGCTGGTGGGAGAAAGTTGGCTATTGGCCAAACAGCAAACTTTTCTGTAAGGTACTGGGTAGCAGATGTAGGGGCTTTGTCTCAGCCTGGAAACCTCTGGATGTGTATTCCTGCAGCTCACCCTCTGGCAGAGGGACAGAGAAGAAAGACACAGGTCTTCTTAGCTCCAGGGAAGGCATCTCAGGAAATCCAACACGACGAACAATGCTTGTGTGCACGTGTATGAAAACGCACATCCAGGGGCTGGAGAGATGGTTCAGCGGTTAAGAGCACTGACTGCTCTTGCAGAGGACCTGGGTTCGATTCCCAGCACCCACATGGTGACTACGAACCATCCTTAACTCCAGTTCCAGGGGAATCTGAAGCCCTCTTCGGACCTCCATGGCATTGCACAACAAGGGTGCACTCACATACGTGCAGGCAATACACACATACACATAAAATAAAATAAAATAAAATAAAACATTTTAAAAGAAGAAAAAAGAAAACGCACATCGGTGCTGAGACTAGAGGTCTCCACATAGCCGAAGGGAAGAATTCCCATTACCTGAAAGATAAGGAAACAGGATCTAGAGCAAGACAAGGTTGGCTGAGACTGGACACAGGAAGGTGCCATGGGACAGGGGTCACAACAATGGTTGGTTGTAAACATTTGTTCCCATGAATCTGGAGGAACATTCTTAGATGGGAAGACTGTGCCAAACCTAGGCCTAGTAGCTCATCCCATGGGAAACGCAGTGGAGAGCGGAGGGCTGAAGAAAAGAGCCTGCTTCAGCGTGCAGAGAGGCTCTGTGCTCCCCAACCTACACCTTGGCTCTGGGGCCGTTGGGGGGACAGGAAGGAGGAGGGAGAGGTGGGTTCCTGAAGGGGAGGGATTCGTGCCTTGTCCAAGAGTAAGTAGACATCTGTTAGGATCTTGGGTGCATGTTCTGCTGCTTTTATGGCCTGGATTTCCCAGTCAGTGTCTTCAGCCTGGAATCGGGGAAGAGAGACTCGTCAAATCTAGGTCAAGTTAACCCTGAATTACACATCTGGAGAAAGCATTTCTCAATGATCAATGTGTCTACGTGCAGAGCTGAGTAGGATCTGACCCAAAGGCTGAAGCAGCAAGTGGACAGGCACAATCTGCAGGCCGAGATGACGACCTCCCGCTTCATTACCCCACCCCCACCCCGGCCAAGTCACTGTCCACGCCTGAGGCCAAGTGAAGGATCGTGTTGGGAGCAGAAGCAAAGGTAACCTAGGCAATGGTTATCTCAGTGCTAGAGAGGTGCCATCTGTAGCAGAGGTTGGGGAGATTCATAACGTGTTGACCTCCAAAACTAGTGGTGTTGAAACCAACCAAGAGCCAGTGAAGCTGGAGGGCTGATTTAGGGTCTCCTCACTAAGGAAAACACATTCCTTCTCCCCTAAGTGCAGAGTTCCTCAAGCTTGGACGCAGAATGACCAGGACACTGGACCTCACCTTCACGGCTCCCAGACCTGCTCCAAATATCCAAGGCTCCAGAAAAGGGGCCCTGTCTGGGACTGGACCCCTCTTCTGGCCTTGCAGAGATCCAGGACCCCGGCCCTGAGAGCCTTCTAAGCCCTGCTCCCTGTTTCCCCACAGAAAGTGCTTCTGAGAGTGGCCTCTGTGGAGAGCAGGGCAGAGGCTGCTGGGAACAAGTGGACAAAGTGTAAGCAGTGCTTCTGAATGACAGGGCTGTGTGTCCCTTTACCGCCCCACCTCCCTCTCAGGCACTTATGTCCGAACTCTAACCTGCTCCCTCGGGGAAGGGAGAGGAACTCATTATGATTCAGTGATGACCCAACAGGTCACAGAGCACAGTGTACTACGTGGTCACCCACTGGACCTGGGTAACCAAAGGGGAAGGGGCAGAACTGTTGACTGTCCCACCCTCTGTGTCCATGTGAAGCTGGCCTTATAAAGAGCCATGAGGCCTCCAGCCAGACATCTCATCTTTAACCTCACCATCCCTGGGAGGAAAGCAAGCCCATACCAGCGCCATGACAGAGCTGGAGAAAGCGGTTTTACTCATTCTCAACGTCTTCAACAGGTATGCGGTCAGTGAGGGCAGTAAGCAGAAGCTGAGCAAGGGGGAGCTGAAGAAGCTGATTGAGATGGAGCTCCCCAGCCTCCTGAAGGTAAGGCCAAGCAGACCGGGCCGGGCAGGAAAGGGCGAGGGCCTGGCAGGCAGAAGCAATGGGGTCCGACCCGGCACTTGGGACCCATGGTGCCAGGAGGAGCAGTGAGCAGATCCGGAAAAGTGTGAGCCTGGCTGAGGAGGGGGACCTATGACCCCACGGAGGGGACACTGGAGCACCTGACCCAGGAGGGGATGCTCAGAGACCCTGGAAATGTAGGGCATTTGTGAGCAGGATTCCTTAGGAGCCAGTAATCTGCCCTAACAGGGAAGGTGGGATCCAGGGCCTTCTCCAAAGCCGTCCCTAGACCCTCAGAGCTACCTGTCTCCAGGACTGCCTTCTAAAGTGCTCCTCCTCCTGTGACCAGGTTCCTTGTGGCCTGGTATTAGTGGGACTGACAGAAATAAGGACAAAGGAGGTCTGTTCCTAGCCCCTCCACCCACCGTCAGCAGCCTCCTTTGTGGTCAGTGCTGAGGCAGGACTAGGAGCCGGTTTCTGCTGCGAGCAGCCTCGGGTGGGTCTAAGCAGAGGCTCCCCACCTTCAGCCTCTCCTTTCTCCCCTTCCTCCCCCACTCTGCCCTCCTGCCATTGGATGGGTCCCCACCAATGCCAGTGGCTGGAAACATATGCCAGAATATTGAGCCCCAATTGTCACTGGGAAGGCACGCTACCCCAGCACGCGTGTCCTTCCAAACAGGAAGGCAGCAAAGCTACATTTTTACAAGTCCATCTATTTTTCTGTATCAGTGCCTTATAGACGCTAGAGTACAGCAATAAGGAGCCGGCCCTCTTGAGTACGGATCCTTCTTTCCATTCTTCTCCCATCAAGCATTGTTGTGGGCAAAATTCTAATTAGTGTGCAGCTGTCTGTTGTTCGGAGCCTACTGTCATAGTGTGAACTCTCTGACTCTGGGCTTTTTGAGGACAGCCAATAGAGGAGACTTGTGCATGGACATGTGGTGTCCTGGTGAACATCAAAGTTTGAGGAGTCACAGTCCCACAGGCATGTGCATGCACATAGTCATGTGTGTGCATGTACATGTACATGTCTGTGTGCATGGGTGTGTATGTGTGTTCATGGCATGTGTATATGCATGGGCATGTGTGTGCATAGACATGTGCATGGGTATGTGTTTGTGTATGGGCATGTGTATACATAGGTGTGTGTGTGTGTGTGTATGTGCATGTGTGGGTCCATGAGAGTGTGTGTGTGTGTGTGTGTGTGTGTGTGTGTGTGTGTGTGCAGGGGCTACACTGTCTAGCCAGCAAGCCCCAAGGATCCATCTGTCTCCACCTCTCCAGCACCTACATTACAAACCCGCAGCACCGTGCTCAGCTCTTTTGCATGGGTTCAGGGAATCAAAATGCCTCATGTTTCTATGTTCACATGGTAAGCCCTTTACAGACTGAGTCATCTCCACAGCCCTGGCCACACACAGGTATTCTGGTGTGTGTGTGTGTGTGTGTGTGTGTGTGTGTGTGTGTGCGTGCGCGCGCGCGCTGCTGCTGTTGAATCTGCAGCCTCCCCTTGCTGTCCCATCCATTCCAAGCTGTAATGGTGGACACCCACCTCCATCACCCAGCTGCACCTTGGTGGGTGGTCTGTGCACAGTTTTCTGAAGCAGCTGTGGGGTCACAGAGTTTCAGTCCTCAGATCAACTCCCTCCCCTGCTGATGACAATCAGCTCTACCCTCCGGTTGTTCTTCTCGGTGAGTATGGTATTTCACTCCTGACTGCCACAGGAGCAGGCATTCAGACTCCCTGCCAGCTTGGCCTGCTCCAAACTGCCTGCCTTGGGGCCTGAGCGGTTCCAGAGCAGGGAGGGAGAGCAGAGCCTCTGTGCAGCCTCCAAGCCTGTGTCTGAGCCTTTCTCCCCTGGGACCTCATTCCTTGGGGCGCCTCTAATTGTCTTCATCTCTAACAGGTGAGGCAGAACCCTTGCCTCAAGGTGGTGGGGACTACAGGCCTGAAGCAGACAGCTCAGAGCTGATCTGAGAAGGGACAGCCACACAGCTGGCAGGCTACAGAGAGCAGCAGGGAGAGGAGGCTTTTCTGGGGATAACCCCACTTGAAAGCACATTCTATGGGCTGGGAAGATGGCTCAGTGGGTAAAGTGCGTGCTGCCCTGGTGTGGGGATCTGAGTTCAGATCCCCAGCACCCACATGAAAGCTGGGCACAGTGGTACACATCTGTAACCCAGCGCTGGGGTAAGGACATAGACAGGCAGATCCGGGGACTTCCTGGCTAACCAGTCTAAACAATCAGTGAACATTGGGTTATGTGAAACCCTGTCTCAAAACAAAGTAGACAGCAAAAGAGAGGGACATACCTGACACTGACCTCTGGCTTCCATGAACAACTGCACCGATTCATATATACATATCACACACACACACACACACACCACACACACACACACACACACACACACACCACATACATACACTCACACATACATATACAAAGTACATTATAAACCCATACAGTCCCTTTCAGAAATTGAAACGAGCCGGGCACAGTGGCACACACCTGCAATCCCAGCACTTTCAGGAGATGGAGGCAGGAAGATCAGGAATTCAAGGTCATCTGCAGCTATGTAGTGAGTTCAAGGCCAGCCTGGGTAACAAGAGACCTTGTTTCAAAAACAAACCAGCAAATTAATTAATTAATTAATTAATTAATTAATTAATTAGGCTGTCCTCTTCATGGCACAATGCAACTCAAATTTGGCCTAAATCAAATACGGGCTAGTTGATGTCATGCCATCCAGAGCAGCTGGCAGCTTCTAGATGCCTGTGTGTCTCTGTGGGATAAGGTGTGCCCGTCTTCACAGCCATACTGGCAAGCAACCCACACATGGCTGCTTTTCCCCTCCCCTCCCGCGGTGGCTGGCGCTGGCTGAGGACAAGCCTCTACCAAGTATACATGGATCTGAGCCTGCCCCCCCACCCCCCACCCCAGAATGAAGAGGACGCAAAGGGTGCTGACAAACTGCTCAAGGAACTGGAGGGCAATAGAAATGCCTGGGTGGACTTCAGCGAGTTCATCGTATTTGTGGCTGCCCTCGCATCTGCCTGTCACCATCACTTCCTGACGGAGGAGGACAAATGACGCCCGGAGGACAGATTCCTGACAGAGACCCCAGCAGGGCCTGGCAGCAGATCCTGGCTTCCGGAAAGCCCTTGGTGGCGGTTCTCTCCTTGGGCCGAGTTCCCTGGTGTCCCCCTGACTAATAAATGCTTGTGATGCGGCTGAAGAGATGGCTCGGCAGTTAAGAGTATTTGCTGGTCTTGCGGAGGACCCCCAGCACCCACATCAGGGAGCTCACAACTGTCTGTTAACTCTGATTCCAGAGGGTCTGACACCATCTTCTGGCCCCCACAGGCACCAGGCATGCACATGGGGCATATCATACATGTAGGCAAATACTCATACATATAAAATAAAATTAAATATTTACAAAGTGCTCATGGGCTTAGAGAACACAGTACTTTCCTTTAAACCTCAATGTCCTCACTCACTCACTGGAGGGATCCGGTTTGACATACCAGTATCTGTCTGGGTCGTAACTACATATTACTCCCCAGATGGCCCCAACACAACCCAAGCTCTGTAGAATTATTAAGACAGTTGACGATGGTGTGCTGGCCTGTGGCCACTAGAATGTTTGTAATTGACTTTGGATATATTAAACAGTTTCTTTGAAAAGTCAGGTAGATTCTGGTGCGCTATGGGTCTCCTTTCTCTAGCTTAGTATTTAAATCATCTCCTCCTAGGAGACCAAATTAGAACAAAGTAAATACATGAAAATACTACAATGAAACCCAATGGTCGGTGTGCTAACTTGAAAAATGAACTTCAGGGGACTGGAGAGGTAGCTCAGCTGTTAAAAGCACTGGCTGCTTTGGCAGAGGACCCAGGTTCAGTTCCCAGCACTCACATGGCAGCTCCACTTCCAGGATATCTGATGCCCTCTTCTGACCTCCTTGGGCACTGCACAACAGGGCTGCATTTACACACATGCAGGCAATACACTGGCACACATAAAATAAAAATAATAAAGAGCCGGGCGCGGTGGCGCACACCTGTAATCCCAGCACCTGGAAGGCAGAGGCAGGCAGATCTCTGTGAGTCCAAGGCCATCCTGGTCTACAAAGTGAGTTCCAGACCAGCCAGAGCTACAGGAAGACCCTGTCTCAAAAATAATTATCTTCAGAGGCCAGAGAGATGGCTCAGTGGTTAAGAACACTTGCTGCTCTTGCAAATGGCCTGAGTTCAGTTCCTGGCACCCATGTCAAGAGGCTCACAATTGCCTATAACTCCAGCTCCAAGTGATCTGATGCCCTCTTTTGATCTCTGTAGGCACCTACACACAGGCACACAGACACACCCATACACGTTTTTTAAAAATATTTTATTTATTTTTATTTTATGTGTATGCATGTATTGCCTGCATGTAGGTAAGTGTACCCATGTCATGCAACGCCTGAGGAGGTCAGAAGAGGCTGCCGGATCCCCTGGGACAGAAAGTTGTTAGCTGCCATGTGGGTGCTGGGATTCAAACCCAGGTCTTCTGCAAGAACAACCAGTGATCTTAACCGCTGAGCCATGTCTCCAGCCCCTTATTTATTATTTTTACTTTATGTGTATAAGTGTATTGTTTGCATGTAGGTGGGTGCACCTGTGTCATGCAATGCCTGTGGAGGTCAGAAGAGGGCTTTGGAGCCCCCGGAACTGGACTTATGGATGGTTGTTAGCTGCCATGTGGGAGCTGGGAATTGAACCTGGGTCCTCTGCAAGAGCAGTTAGTGCTCTTAACCGCTGAGTCGTCTCTCCAGCTCCACACATATACATAAGTAAAAATAAAAAATAGGCTGGGCGTGGTGGCGCACGTCTTTAATCCCAGCACTCAGGAGGCAGAGGCAGATGGATCTCTGTGAGTTCAAGGCCAGCCTAGTCTACATAGTGAGTTCCAGGACAGCTGGGGCTACAGGGAGACCCTGTCTCAAAAAGAAGACCAAAAAAAAAAAGTTAACTTTTAAAAGAAAAGAACCTACAACCATCCAGCCAAGCTTCACCCTGGGTGCTCACCCAGCAAGTTGGGCAGTGTTCAGGGATGTTGTATGGGCTGCAGAGGCCAGGCCGAGACAGCCAGAATCAGCTGTGCTGCTGCAAAGAGCTCATAAGAGGCAGGAAGAAGGCAGGTCAGAAGGGAGGAAGGCTGGAACATTCTGAGGGCGCATATTTGGGAGGGCACCAGGGCGCAGAAAGATGGGTAATTTTGGGGTAGTGACTGAAGAAATCTGGGAAATGACATCTCCGGAGACAGTAAAAATTGTTTTTTAATTAATTTTATTTTTCTTTTATGTGTATAACTGTTATGCCTGCATGTATGTAAGTGCACCCATGTCATGTAGTACCCTGGGAGGACAGAAGAGGGTGTTGGATCCTCTGGAACTGGCTAACTATTGTTATCCACCATCTGGGTGCTGGGATTTGAACCCAGGTCTTCTGCAAGAGCAGCCAGTGCTGCTAACTGCTAAGTCACCTCTCCAGCCCCAACAGCAGACATTCTTGACTATACATGCACTGCCCTTGAAGAGCAAATATCCTCAGTTCTTACCTGATGGCCTCTTTGCTGCACATCTTACCACCAGAGGAGGGGTTCTGGACAGTCTACCCAATGCTGTCTCTCTCGGCACAAGGCCCCTGCCTGGTACATTGTAGGAGCTAAGTAGATATGGATGAACAATGAAACCATTAAGACAAAAGGAGTTTTAAGGGCTCCAAACAGGGGACTGAGAGCCCAGATCACTCACCCTGAGTTGTTCACAGGATTGGGGTAACACTGAAAACAGGGATCCCATTAGGTAACAGACACTAGATAGTTCATACTAGAGGCTTGGAGTAAGTAGCTGGCGATGAACCCAAAGAGCAGGCAGACAGCATGCCTTGGTGACAGACGTGGGGGACTGCTGGAGAGTGGAGGTGTCAAGCACGACACCAGAGTGTCTGGCTCAGACACTTCAGCTGAAATCTTTGCGTTGGCAGCAATTTAATTTTAAAAAGCTGGGCATGGTAGCATGCGTCTGTAACACTACTGTGGGAAGAGCGGAGGCAGGCAGAGCCCGAGAGCCTACTGGCCCATCTTTCTAGCCAGTCAGTGAGCTCTGGGCTCAGTGAGAGACGCTGGCTCAAAAAATAAGGTGGGGCTGGTGAGACGGCTTGTGGGTAACAGTGCTTGCTGCTACATCTGACAACGGGAGTTTGACCCCCAGGACACATAGGATGAAAGTCAAGAACTGACCCCTGAAACTTGCAACTTGCTCTCTAACTTCCACATTTGTGCCATGACATGCAAGAGTCCCCCCACACTCTGTCACACACATTCCCACAAAATAAATATATATAATAAAAATTTTGAAAAGTGACAGAACGCAATGGAGAAAGACACCCAGTGTTGACCTCTGGCCCCGACACACATGTTCACACACCTATGTGCATGTGCACACATACACAAAACATGCACCCACACATGTGCATGTGTGCACACACACAAAAAACATGCACTCATACATATGCTGCACACATCCTAAATAAATAGGTAAATTTAATTTTCATGCCTAATTGGCATTCACTTACTCCAAGTATTACATACCAACTGTGCGCCAGCCACATCCGAGTCTAAGTGCTGAGAATTCAGCAGTGAACAAGGTCCCACCCCAGAAGCTGACAATCTACAGAGAGAAGTCAGACAATAAGCAACCACGTTTCAAGTAGGAGAAAGAAAAATTAAGGGACGAGCAAGAAAGGATGACCTCACCACCCCATCAGAGAGAAATGGGGGCTTCTCTGGTAGGTGACGGCTGAGCAGACTTGAAAATAGGCGTGGTGAGCCACATGGACACCCGGCACTCACATTTTCAGAAGGAACAAAGGGCTACGGGAAAGCCACGCATCACCAGGCAGTGCAGCTGAAGGCGGTAGGGTTTGCCAAGACTTTTGGAAAATAGCATAAAATTTCAGATTTCAGAGAAAGGGGAGTTTGGGCATGACAAACTCATACAAGAGAGACTAATGCCTTCCAGAGCTACGGACTACGCTGATCCAAGCTTCCTAGCTGACTTGGCAGTTGCTTAAATTCCACTGATATATAATCACTTATGAGGAAAAGATGAGCTAAGAGATACAGGCAAAGCCACGTACGCCTCTAAATTACATTCATCACAAGCACAGGCTACGATGTCACTCTGGCTGGGAGCCAAGGCTCAAAATGATTACAGAGACTCTTCAGCTCTGAAGGCAAGCAAGGGTTAGGATGAAACCTTGATGTACCAAAGAAGTGAAAAGCAATCTGTGGGAACTGGAGAGATGGCTCAGTGGTTAAAGCACTGGCTGCTCTTGCAGAGGATCCAGGTTCAATTCCCAGCACCCACATGGCAGCTATCAGCCATCTGTAACTCCAGTTCCAGGGGATCGGACATTGCACAACACAGGTGCACTTACACGCAGGCAATACATAAAATACATATAAAATAAAAATAATTTTAAAAAAGCAATCTATGGGTGAATGTGGCCCATTTTTAGTTAATCAAGGGAAGATACATATACATGCATTTTTACATGCATGTACACAGCAGTATGTGTGCACATGTGTTTGTGTGTTCAGTTTTTAAAAGAACTTGTATGTGTGGTGTATGTATTTGTTATTGTATGTGCACGTGTGGAGGCCTGAAGTGGATGTCAGGCATCTTGCTTTGATCACGTTCCATCCTTATCTTTTGAGACCCGGTCTCTTACTGAACTTGAAGCTCACCAGTTGGCAAATGGCTGGCCAGTGAGCTCCAGGGATCCACCCATCTCTGTCTCCTTCCTAGAGCTGGGGTTACAGATGCGTGCTACCTACCATGTCTGGCTTCTTAAGTGGACTCTGGGGATCCAAACCCAGGTCCTCATGCCTATACAGCAGACTCTTCAACCACTGAGCCTCTCCCCAGCCCTGTGTTCACCATTTTTAGCCTCCAAGCATGTCTTGTTTTAGTACCAGGAATTGAACCTGGATCTTCACATGCCAAGCATGTAATCCAGCACTGAGCCACACCCAAGCCTCAAGCATTCTTCTCTAAAGGATGCAACTTGTAGTCAACAGGTTTGGGGGCCAACCGTCACAATAGGGACCAGAAAGATGGCTCAGAGGCTAAAGGAGTTTGCCTCAAAAACCTCATGACTTGTTTGATCCCTGGGACCCACATGGT